TCATTTAATAATGAGATAAAATAATATTCTGAATTATGTTTTCTATCATTTGTTGAAGGTGAAAAATTGAGCTATCAGAAATTTGAATTGATAGTTAATTTTGAATAATTTCTTAAACATTTCTGTKAAATAATCAAACCTTGCCATCTTCCGTTACTATAAGTTTCTTACCAAAAACAGAAAATAATAAACAAAAGTTATAATTTTTGTACTGACATTTATAAGTGTGATTTGTATAAATGAGCTAGTTTAATAATAGGTGACATATTTCCTATTTTATTTCAACCATAATTGAAATGCTGTTTTATAGTTTATTAAAACAAGTGAGAACATTTTGACTACATTACTATATTAGTASAGTAGTTTATTATGTAACATGTCACATGTGTTCTAATAACAAATGCCTTCAAATATATCATGCATCTTGACACTATAATTAATTGAAGCGTTAAAAAAACTATTTTATTTAAAATTGATTCTTTAGAAATCCCATTAAACTTTAAATTATTAATTGCAACATCTTTAGCATAATTAACTAATTTATAAAGTAGTAAATCATTTTTTTTTTGTTTAGTTATGGGTTACTGTTTTTTGGGCTTTACAAAACCTACAAAAGAAATTGGAAGAAAATTATCAGCTAAATTGACTGATAGTGTTTATTCCTAAATTGTCACCATTAAATGTCCTAAAATAAAATGAACTTTTTTGACATAATTTGAAGTTGTTTTACAATTTACTTAAATATCATTAAATATATGTATCAATTTATTGTAACATAAATCATTACCGAAATCTTATAGCATCAATAGCCTTAATTAAATCAGCTAAATGATTGCCTAATAGTTTTGATTTGTCAGATAAGGAAAAACTATAATGTWCAGGTAAAATAGAATGATCTGAAAGATATGACCCTAAGTCCCTAACTGGTTATTGATTTAAAAGTCATAAATGAACATAAAATATGGGATTGTAATTTTATTATGTCAAGGTAAAATTTTTCTTGTCACAATTTTTCTTATTCAAAATATTTTATTTGTGTTTCATTATTTGAGTTGTTAGTGAATTATTTAAGTTCTATCTAAGTCGTTATCACGTTTAAAAAATTTCTTTAACTGAAAATGTAATGGAAATAATACACTTGGTAATTTGGTTATTATACATAGTTTTGACTGAGCTAGATTTAAGTCAATCAGACAATCTCTTCATTAACAGTAAATTGCTTTAAAGTTGGTGGTTTTCAATTACCTCATCAATTGTTTAAAGAATATTCGGTATTGGAAAAATTAAAATACGTGTTAGACATTTCTGTTGTAACTATTTGTAAAGTTGCTAATAAAATTGATGTTTTAGTAAAACTAGTAAGTAAACTCATAATAAGTTCTAATAAACGTATCTTCATTGTTTGCAGAATATCGAAAATATCTTTTGTTCTGAGCTTGTGTTAACATTGTTAATAMTATTGCAAATGGGAAGTATTACATTTATTTAGTGTTGATGTATGTAAATTAAAACTATTTTTAAGTGCTTTATTGTAACATGTCCTTTATAACTAATTAAGTTAGGAAATATTTGAGTGCATTGGTTTTCTAAGCATTAATATAAACTCAAAGGTTTTAGAAAATAATTTTTTGTAATATCTTGTTTGAAAATAATTCATAGTTGGCTATTGATGTTGAAAAAAATAATTGTAAAAAAAATAAGTTATTTAGTCATCTCATGTATGAATATATATAGAAACTATGAATATGATGTTTATAATTAATATAAAGGTACCTACTTACTTTTATGCAACAATGTAATATTATAATAATGTGAAGTACAATCCTACCTCATCATCGTAATAAGGAATCTAAAGTGCTTCTAAAACTAAAAATCAACTAAAAATCAACTAATTAAACAACTAGACAACCACTAATGTTTAATAATACATCAATTATAATGAATTAATCATTAATAATTAATTGATAAATTCAACTTTTTTTGTACAAACAATCATAATATGTTGTCAAATGAATGATATACTTTATCGAAACGTTAATAATTATTGTTAATTCAACATTATTATATATTGTACATTTTTTTACAATATACAATACTACGTAATGTTATTTCAAACATAATTTGTAAAATCATCAATATCTTTGATGAAATTATTTGATTAAAAATTATTTTAAAGGTTATGATTGTATAAATGTGAAAATACATAATACTATTTTGAATAAATCCATTTGTTGTTCTTAATTGATTTAAATATATTTGCATTAAAAATAATAAAATAAGAATTGGTTCAATAAATTTCAAATTGTTAAAAATTAATAATTGCCTATTATTAATTAGTTTTACTCATAATATTTGGTCGAGTGCACAGTCAGTTCGAAGGGTGTATTTGAGGAAGCATTGCATATTTTAAGGTATACTATTCAAGCATTTCATATAATAATATCTATATTTGGGATTAGAACATGAAGAGCTATACGCTTAAAATTAATTTATACTACTTACTAAATATCTGAATAAATAAATTAGATACTTGTGTAATATGATATACCTAAACCTAATACCTATATAATGTAGGTGTGTAATGAATGAATACAAATTGTATAAAATAATTTGTATCATGAAGTTTTTATTAATTCGTAATCCTATATACATTWAAAAAAAAATGTATTATAATTAAGGCTCGGAAGTTGATGACCTTAAAAACAATAAAAAATGCCCTTAAAAAATATGTAAATATGACATAAAAATGGCAAAAAATGACCTAAAAAATTACAAAAATATTTTACTCTATTTTACTATAAAATTCAAAATGTGACATAAAAATGACAACAATTTCCTTAAAATAGGAAGATAAAAAAATAAAAAATATTTGTTTTATAAATTTATCAAAGCTTACAAATTATTTAAAAATTTAAATTATTGCATTGTACAATTAGAGCGTATTTTATGTTATCGAAAGTAAATTAACGACGATTATCTGTTWATAAATATTTATGATTGGAAAAAAACTTCTCTCTWCGTCCACTTAAGTGATTGGGGCAAATCTGAAATGTACTAAATCATCAGCACTGAAATCATCCGGAAAACATTCACTGGAAGCTTCTTCACCATTTAAAATTTTTGAAATTGTTGAAAACGACAAATGTAATCGTCGAGATGAAATTGAATAAGTACTAATCTTAGCCTGTGGTAATTTCCAAGTTTTAAGTTATCAGCATAATGGTCAACAAGAAACGATAATAAAGGAACTAGTGTGAAATCAGTAAAAATGACTAAAAATTTAGGAAAATGACCTAAAAATGTCAAAAAACTACTAAAACGTAATAAACATCTAAAAATGCAAAAAAATGCAAAATAAAAATTAGTTATTCAGATTCACATGCTTATGAAACAGATTTGTAGCCAGGAGAGCATAGTCTAAAAAGTTCCAAAAAATAAATGCAAAATGTATCAGCTTCCGAGCCCTAATTATAATATACAACTTTTTGTGAGTAATACGACAACAAATTATTATTAAATATTAAAAAATTAATTATTAATAAAAAAAAATATAAAATATTTATTGTTGAATTAGTAAGTCTGTAAGTATTTAGCGTGAATTTAAAAATTAATTTAGTCTATAGTTCTATACATTTCTTAAATGGTCAATTATTACTTGAAAAATTAAACAATTGCAAAATCAATATAAAAAATATTCATTTACAATTTTTATGAAAATGTAGAACTCTAAGGTGTGTGTGTAATCCGTTTTCATTTTTTTGTGCCTGCAAAATATGAATTCTTCAAACTATAAATTTACAAAATGATTATAGTCTGAATAATTAACGAAAATCGAGAATTTTATCGATAAACGATTTAAATAGTTTTCTTATCATTCGTATCTATGTAATGCCTATTTTCCTTACCATAATTGGCTGTCAGTACCAAAAAMCCATATTGTAATATAATATAATATAATACATTCGTTATATTATAACTACCTATATAGGTAGATATTATAGTTACGACTGCATGATATGGTATACGTTTTGATCTAAATTTTCCGTCATCAATTTATAATAACATAATCCATAATGTTGAATTRTAGTTTTTAACATCGGAAATCGAGTTTATTGTATTTGAATTTTTTATTATGATTTATGAACATKATCTAATATCATTTTATTTACCAGTTTTGATACCGTGTATTTATCGCATTTTTACGTAGATATCACGAATATAGGGGTAATATTCTAGGATTACTGATAATTTAATATGATACTTAAAAAGAGTTGAAAGTTAATATTTAGAAAAATCTATTTTAATCTATTTTAATTTGTGTTTTATATTATTTTTAACTATACTATTTTTCTATGTGACAGTTTTGTTTAATTTATATTATGCCTGTATAATTATTATTGTATGGAAGTATGAAGTGTCTAAGATCGTGTGAGTTTATAACAATTAAAATAAAATGTTATTACATTTATTTTGTATTAAAATGTCAAACTAGTTATAATATTAAGTTTTAAATTTTTTCAAAATGTATAAGCAAGATTTTTTGGTTAAATACAAAAATATTTTGAAAAGTGACCGGCTAAAATGAATTAATTTGTTGATATATGAATGAATCCACAAAATATCTCGAATATTTATTTGATTCATAATTTTTGGAGTAGGTACTATACGTCTAATCTATTTAATGAAGAATAATATTTAGAATACAAACCAAGGGCGCCGTGAGGGGGGTGCAAGGGGGTGCAATTGCACCCCCYTGGCGGCTGGCTTAAAAAWWTTTTTATGGTACCTATTGAAAAGATTTTTTTGCATAATTATCTATTAAAAACTTTTTATCCGACGAAAAAACAAAAATAACTTTGTATCGTCATATAATTTGAAAAAAATTTCTACGTATTTAACTAAAATAATTTTAAACATTATTTAGAAATCAAAGTGTACTATGCACGATGCACCCCCCGGACAAAATTCCTGGCGACGCCTATTACAAACTACCTCTTAACTTCAAACACACACACCGCAATGTTAAAAAATAATACAATGATAGTCAATATATTAAGATGATTAAGCGAATATGACGTCCTCTTAATGATTAATGTTTTAATACAACTTAGTTGAATAGTTAGCTACTCCTCTTGTTTTCAATTTGGACAATTTTTTTTAAATTAATTCATCCAGGTATTGTATTGCAGAAATTGTTCCATTTTCAAACCTGAATGTAWAATTTWAAAATTTTAAAAATAATTAAATACGTTATAAATATTTTTATTACTATTTACCGTTCTTTTGCATTGTTGAATTTTTCTTCAAAGATCTTGTATTTTTTGGGAATCATTAAGTCTAAATTGGATTTTCCTGGAGTTGTAATGTCAATCTCAAAGTTTTGTTGCATATCTTTCAATTTAATAATGCACTTTTTTGTACTTAAATTCGAATTATTAATGTCTTTGTTAGTAAAATCATCAAATCCCTCTAGGTGGTTTATAGTTTTTATGTCATCCGTGTCATAATGATTCCATACGATTTTATTTAACAGACCTCCATTCGAAATTATAAATGTGTCAGTAATATAGTTTATGAGTTCCAATAAATCTAAATTTTAATAACATATATATTAGTTATAAATAATTATGTATAAAATGTTTTGAATTACTTTCGTTCTGAGGTGCTTCATTTTTAATTTGAGTCCAAATTTCTCCGATTTGTTCCACGGGGACCAAAGCAAGACAACACATACGCCGTATTGTTTTTATTATGTTACAATCGCTACTTTGTGATAGCCCTAAGCAAATAACTTTATGCCATATGATATTTGCATAGTAGTACAAAGATAATTTAATGGTTTTCTTATGTAACCCAAACATTTCTTTAATAGTTGGTATGATATTTATATCCACATCAATGTAAAAATTACTAGGATTAAACTCCAAATTATTGTTATGAGAAGTATCTTTAATGATTTGTAACATTCTCAAGTATGCTTTCTTATTATTATTAAATAACAGTGCGTACACCTACAAATTATAATTATGATTATGGTTATATGACATTGTAAAAAAGCAAATTAATATTAGAATAAACTATGCATACCATTGGTACAATTTTTTCGCCAACAAAGCAATGCAAAATAAATAAATACCGGAATAATTTAAATTCCAATTTAATACTGTAGCTATTCATATATACTGTGTCCGTAGAACACAATTTTCGTAAAAATTCTTTTGTTCCAAGTACAATAATTCTATTTTCATAACAACCATATCCTATAATGTAATATTATTAACACATTTGTTATATTTATTACAATTATTAATTTAATTTCCACTATTTTGTATAAATACCTAAAATAAAATCTTTCCCATCATTTGTTAAACGTATTTCGTTATCATTTACTAGTTCAGTCCATTCAGTAGCACTCATCGCTCTGCCACTCGTTATAAAATTAGTGTTTCCTTTAATTATAAATGGTCTTCGAATTATCTGCAGTGATGGCACCTCGGGATTCATTATAACTCAGTCCTAAAAATAATTAAACAATTCATCTTTCAATTATAAAATTATCAAAATATATTTTAGTTCAGATTCTGAATAGTATTCTACAAAACTATAAAAGTATCTAAAACTACAATAAGTACATATAATAGGCACTATAAGTCCTTTACACTTGTAATGGATCAATGGATGTGTTAAATTTGAAATCAATAATCATTATTGTATATAGTATGTGAAAAACAAAGACGGTTTGTCAGCCTATAATGTAGCGCCAACCAATAATTTGTAATAATTAAATAAAAAAATTTAAAAAAACAACCTATGTTCTCAAACTAAAACATTARTTGTATTTATGCAATTCAAATTAAAAAACGCTACGACACAAATTAAGTTCTTCCAAACGTATTATGGAACTTTGGAAATTCTATTATAAATTCAGAGAGAGTAAAGTTGTCCCACACTAAACAGTTTTTGCGTGTTGTACGCGTTTGTAAGACGGAGACAATATCCGAGGGTATGGCGTTCTCTTTAGGGGATTCAATGCCGTTACTTTTCGTCTTTGTCTAACGCACACGTAACATATGATTTTTAGACGTGTTCTTTGCCAAATGTACCGATTGATCAAATGAAGTGATAAGAATTCTAAAAAATTATTTGAATTTGTCGTCAAGCTTACTTGATATCGAATTTCCCACATTTTTGATATTATCCTTAAATTTTTAAAAACTTTATGTTAAAAAAGAATAAGTAGAAAATGGTCATAATTCAATTTTTGGTGAAGTTAAAATCAAAAAATCAAAAATGTGAGAGAGTCGATATCAAGTAGTTTTAATTACTGTTTTTGATTTCAAATTGTATGGTGTATATAGAAATTGCTTGTAAAATTGTATGTATTTACGGTAGGTAATGTTTTGTAGAGTTACAATATAAAGCAAAATCGATGTTTTCGAAAAAGRTTTTGTGTAAAAATCAATTTTTCCTTTATTTTATTTGTTTTTCCTCAAAAGATCTGCTCATAACATCTCATGTAAATGTTTATAAATAGCGTAACTTTTTGGTGAACTAAAAATAATAAACTTATGAGGAAATTTGTATTAAATGTTCACCTATGTTTTAGCAAAAAATATTTCATCTAGATATAACGAGTTATTAAAAAAGTAGTACCTATGCCTATAAACAATTCTAAATTAAGTTTTCAGTGTGTATCTATACTAAATATTGTGTTTACACGATTTTGGGTTAATACATTATTTTGTGAAGAAGCTATAGGGAGAAGTTCCAAAACGTTATATCACTGCCAAATGTCAAATAACCACGGTAATTACCACTGATATGTAACAAWTAATAATTTATATTTTACATTTATAAGTAGGTATATTTTGCTATTAATGCCCCCTAAAAAATCCAAGTTAAACACATGCTTGACCGAAATGCCCCAAGTATCTAGACAATTTTATTATTATTATTCATCGTCTAACACCGTCTTCATTTTCAATAAATTATTATTTCATGATGTAAATATAAACTAAAAATGTAGATTTATTATAGATTGTAGATTTATTATAGTACTTACTATGATTTACAAGAATAGTAATTTAATAACAATATAAATTATGTCGTTCAACATATTATTGTGGTCTAGTGTGTACAAAAGTAACAAAACACTTTTTGTTTTAAATTATGAGTTCATCATTTCGTTGTAGATTCATAGATATATACATTCTCTATATTTATTGTTATGTTATGTACAAATTGTTGTTTGAAATAAGTACTGTGTAGTCTGTAGGACGTAAGTATTGTTTAGTATATTGTATATTGTATRGAAATTTTTATGTTAACGCCTACGGTTCATTGAAACATTTCTTATTGCGAATACCTACTCAAATGATCAAATCGCAAGTAGCTAAGCTCCCAAATGTACAGTTTTTCAATTGTGTGGGATCAAAGCCTCTCTCTGTTAAAAATGTTAGCTCCTTGAAATTTTAATGGATTTGTGCCAATGCGYATACACGTRTTCAAGCACTACCACATATTAATAGAAAATTAGTGATTACTGATAACATATTTACAGAGATTCCCAACCAGGGTGCCGTGAAATTATTTGAAATATATTTTTTTAAGAAAAAACGATTTCATGAAAATATCACTGTACCTATATATATTATAGCATATAGGACTGTGAGTAATAAAACAGACTATAATATAAAAACTATTGTAGTGTTTCATATATTTTGTAGAAATATTACGATGTTTTAATGTTCATACCCGATACCGGTTTGATTGTTATCGCTTGGATGTGAAATATTTGTGACTTTATCTTATCTTAATTTTTATAAAACGTGTATCCGGTATCGAAAAAATATATACTATGTAATAATTTGTTTTATAAAATGTATTATGTGTATAAGTGTACAATGYACAGTATATAGTTTGTAAAATGTAAATAGTATCATAGTATAATGCTAAATTAAAAAGAAATGTAGATTTTGARTGACCTTTTTTTTGTTGCTCTGCTAAGCCCAGCCCTAGGGTGCCTCTAGATTTTTAGAAAATGACTAAAGGTGTCGTGAGACAAAAAAGGTCAGGAACTTCTTACATATTATATAATATATAATAATTATAATTTTATATAATTTATGATACCAAGTTCGAATATGTTTTTACCTCAACGAAACAAGAAGAATTATACACCTTATTTTGACAGTTTAATTTTCATTACTTTTCTAGGTTTTATAAGATTTGTGATTTAATTGTTTTATATGATATTTAATGAGTTCCCTTATTATAGTAAAATAAAAATGGAATATTGATTTGACATAATATTTTTTGCATTATTATGTGCTCTCCTAAAATAGTGGTTTTATRAATTAGAGCAATAGGTTTTTAATTAGTTAAAGATTTGTAATTTAAATTTTAAGAGGATGCTAAACCAGCATGTGTTGTCTCCGTCTTACAATCGCGTAACATAACAAATTTTACGCTCAGCAGTTTAAAATCTAGAGTTTTAAATCTAGTTTAAAATTTAGAGTGAATTTACCTCTTATAAAAATTGAAGGTAACATTATTATCTGGGGCTAATCTTAGGCTTTTTATTATATTTTAATTTTAAAGCAAGTTATGAGTATTTTAAGATATACAAACAATTAACATTAAAATACTCATAACATTATAGCAGATATAACTGTATATTATTAGGCAGAATTATTGGCAAACAATATGTATAATATGTATGTAGATTTATATAAACTATATTTTACCTTAATATACGAAAATAATTAATTTRCATATTTTAGAYAAACGTTAAATAAACRGAAACTTGTATTTCTATTGGCATCYTGAAACTAATGTATCTCATGTAAAATTTTTAAAATTAGCAAAATAAGCTTGAAAATAAATATCCGAGTATATACAAATTCTATTTCTATGATTATAATAAATTATTAGAGATGTTGAAATACGGTATTTTATTTTTTATTATACTTAATGTAGAATTGTAATATATTGAATCTTGTAGTACCTCAAATTATCAAACATTGTGCACAAATAAATTACATAAGAGTTATTTTAGATTAAATTAATATTTAAACCTTAAAGGCATGTCCACTAATCTTAAAATACCTAATAACAAGAAATAATTTTAATTAATAATAATGTACCTAGTTATAATTCATAATAAATTATATTTTTAAATATTCAATTATTTTTATAATGATATCGATAACTCGTTTAAAATAGTCTTATATCATGTTAATACCTTGTATAATACAATTTTATACGAGCGTACAATACAAAATCATATCTTTAATAATTATTGATTTGTATAATGACCTTGAAAAATTATTTTAATAGTCCAAAAAGTTTTGTCTAAATGAATATGTTGATGAATGTTTAAAAATGTGCGCTACTAATAAATATAATATTATATTATATCTGTAAGAAATGTATTTTAAATATTTACCTCAAAAATATTATTTTATTGGATTCTTCGTTTCTTGACAATAACGACTACGACAACAACGACTACGTTGAGCTGTTTAGGGTCGATCGTGAACAACTGTACTAAACGGTGGTAGGAGGGCACATTTGGGTTRGGTTAGGATACAGCGGTAGAGGAATTTAGACCCAGCTGCCGTTTTGTTCCTTTCAGAGTAGGTAGTCTTCTCTGTTGGATACACTATTGTATGAGAAATTGAGAGCCGCAGTTATTTTCTAGAATATTCGAACATGTTTTAATAAATACAATAAAAAACATTATTAGGTACCTATGAATGCTTAACAATGCTTAACAAAGCAAGTAGGGTGCATATTTTGGAAACTCCTGGAATTTAGGTAAWCTGTAGGTACATTTACAGTCCATATAAATCGCCGTGTGCGTGCGAGTGCGTAATCCAAATATATACAAATATGTAGGTCGCGCCATCGTGTACGGTACACGGGTGGTCAACAGGTATACTCACACTGAAGTGCCGGCGCATTAATGACTATGGCTAATAAAAAAGTTAGAATATTTGTTTTTAGATTGCCAGTGAGGCCGATAATTATTTGAAAAATTATGATTTTTAACGGACACCTCTAAATAGCAGAACCTAGAGTTAGCAGACATTTTCTCAGRAAACGGTCATTAATTCACTATTTCTATACAGGAATGCCCCTAAATACCTGACACTATTATGGTAATTTCATTATGATTTTGACAATTCTAAAATATAGAATAATCATGGGATACCTTTATAATTATCTCTCTATCTATTATAATTTTAAGTTAATTTTAACTGTCCATCATCGGGTCGATTAAAACATTATTCTAGTTTATTTTCTGTGAAGTATCCTACATTACTATTTCTTACTCGAAGGTATTTAGTTGTATTTGTGATTCCATTACAAACGAACATAATCGTAAACGCAGTGTCACCAACGCAATTAGAAAAAGTCTTGATACACGAAATTACTATGCATTAAGGTTTAAACAAGTTAAAGTAATTGCATTTTTAATTTAATTTTAAATAATAATATGTATAATTAATATTTACATTAAAATAATAGAAATATAGAAATATTATTGATTATAAATATTACATAAATAATAAAATATGTAATTATTAATTTCTCTGAGGTATTTTCGAGAATTTACCCCCCTCCCCCCTCTGAATAGCGGAACCTCTAAATAACGGACGAAACTACGGTGACCAAGAGTGTACGCTATTTAGAGGTTTCACTATATTAATAAATAAGTTGTATACTGTTACTTGTTTTTCTTCGCTATATAGCTGAGTTTATGTATTTTATCTATGAACCCAAATTTACCTGTTTTTTTCGTGGTAGGGTTTACACTAAAAAAAAGGTATTAAGGTGGAGTTAACATGCACCGCTATTTTTTACTCTACAATCAAATATTAAATTTTCTACCTACATATCTATACGATATGTACTTCAAGCGGGGGATTGTAAATGYGACTGAARTGAACAGGTAAAAATAAGTTCTATGGTAAATTCCGCATCGCAAAATATCCAGGTAAAAAAAGGCACGTGTAAATTCCATCCGAAAAAAATATACAGGTACAAAAATGGATTTGTACATTTCGCTTAAAAAAAATCAATATTTTAAAGCGTTCCTTGACTGAATGATGCGACCGTACTGTTGGTGACGTGGTCTGTTATAGTATTTGAAAGTTATAAAATGTTTGTACACTGAATTATCGTATCAGACAACAATCGTCAATCCTGTTGTATCTTTATCAACTTTTATTTTAATATTTAGGTTCTAATAAATGTACAAATGGAAACATTATAAACTATTTAAATCACTTTGTTATCGTTTAAAATTGTGTGTTTATGTTCACTGCTACGTCGTATTATATAGTCTTAAATTTTTTATTTATTTTACATGATGTAATTATAGGATTGATATTATGTAAAATATATATTTATTTAATTACTTATAATGATTTAAAAATTTGGTACCATTTCTATTTTTTTTACGGGCAGAATTTACATTATCTTAGTTTACCTATAGACAATAGTTCATTTCGAGCAGYGGAATTTACCATKTACATGCGCCCCTACAAACTAAGAAAATTAGTTTTTAGTTTTTATCACGTAAATCACAATGGTAATAAATTGTTTTCATTTGTCTACCTCTGATATGTTGAAACTTTGATCACCTTAAATACTAACTATTGTTAATGATTCGGAATTCAATTATCCATATTAATATTTGACATAACATCAGTATTATTATTGGATGATATCAAGTAAATTTCACTAATAAAATCTTTGTTAATTCTGATTTCTTAAATAAGTGCGTATGATTTTTATTTTTATTTTCTAAGAGAACCAAATACTAAAAAAAAATGACATAAAAACATGCTTCCGTACTTGTTATAATATTTTATATAAAAACTTGCAAAATTTATTTGATTGAGTTTTTTCTAGAACCGTTAAAGTTACGATTTTCTACATTTTTATAAATTATAGCTAAATATACCTTGTTCCAAATAAGAGCGCACCAAATTTACGTAACAAAACCGGTTTTGCCTGTGGCCGCCCGGTGTGCTCTAATTTGGAACAAAGTATAAATAAAATAATAAAAATAAATAAAAGCTAAAATTCATTATAAACTATTGGACGATTGAAATAGGTTAGACATGTATACAGAAAATACATCCTTCTATAATCTAATCATTCAATAATAATAATTTTATTGCTCTGAAGTGATTACCAATCTGATCTCCATAATATGACAATGTACCGTACCGAAACAATAGTCGTCGCCTATATAGCCCGCAACGTTATCTCTGAGGCACCCCACGTAAACTCGTTTTGGTAACACGTCTTC